GGGAAGTTAGAAACTGGGGCAGCTGGATAAGAAGTAGCGCCAGTATTTGGACCACGTGGTCGGGTCAGCCTCTGTGATCCAAGTCAGCCTGGACAGCTCAACGTCCTTAGAAATTAGGAGCCACATCATGGACTGGCTGGCCAGGCCACAGCTGTGTACCCTATGGAGCTCTGAGCCTCGCCAGTACTCCGTAAGCCACCTCCTCAGTTCTCTGCGCACAGGCTGAGCACCTCTTCCCCAGAACACACTAGGCAGTTTTCTCCGCCAATCAACATGTGCTCTGTATGGCCAGACCCCTGTGAGGGGTGTGACCTATCAGCCTTTTCCATTCTCCAGCCACAGGATTGGCTCAGGAGCAGCCACGTGACTCCAGGAGACCCAGTGAGAGTCTCTCTGGGATTTGAGGGTGGTGATTATGAGGGAAGAGGTGCCTTTTTGCTACTAGTATGGTGGAATGGGACCAGGGTGAGCGGGCAGCTGTTGGTGTTCTCACATGTCAAGTGCCTGCCTGGGGATGAATCTCAGAAAGAGGACATCAGAGGCAAAGCCCTGCAGGTCAGGGATGGACAAAGTCCTCCTGGCAGCACTAGAAGTCCTGGGTCCAGTGTCTGAGGCTGGGCCTGCCCCTGGATTTTCCATTTGCACAGCTAGGAAATCCCTTTGTGTATAAGATAGCCTGAGATGCATTTCTATTCAGTAGAACCCTAGTGACAGAAGCATGTAGTAAATGCTGTAAGTTATTTATTGATTTGCTTAATTTATTTTTGTTACTGAGGATTGAACCCAGGGCCGCCGCACTGAGCTACATCCCCCAGCCCTTTAATTTTTATTTTGAGACAAGATCTCACTAACTCACTAAATGGCCCAGGCTGGGCTTGAACCTCCCCTGCCTCAGCCTCCCAGCAGACTGGGATTATGAGCGTACCACCAAGCAGGGCGTAGAAGATGAGCCTTTTCTAGAAACCTTTCAAAGCATTTTCAGCTCATTGTTGCCAAGGGGCAGGGAATGAAAACAGTACAATTCCCACTTCTGAGATGAAACTGTGGTAGCCAGGTGGCCGGAGTCTCGTGCGTTTCCCTTGCCCACTGCTGTGCTTTCATAAGGAGGCAGCTACCTCTGCTCAGCCTCTGACACTGTCTCCCATTTCTGGTCTACATGGGTGCCATAGCTGAACCTACCCCAGTCTCACCCTGCCTGGGACAGTGCGGATTTTATGGCTGCATCAGTTTCCCCACTGACCTCTCCGGTGCCCTGTGAGCCTGGGGCAGACAGAGCACATGGAGAACAGACAAATACAAGACGCCACTCACTGCCTTGCACCCTTCCTGGGGCCCAGTCCCAAGCAGTTGTTATGTCCTGCCAGGCCCCAGGGACAGGCTTTTCCCAAGTCATCTTTGCAGGTATTGCTGAGCCCCTCGACCCCACCATCTGCTTTCTGAGTGCCTTGAGCCCTTCTCCTTCACTTCAGCAAGTTTGTGGGATTCATACAAAATTAACCAGAGGTTCCGTTTCACAGCACTGTGCGAGATCCAGTTCCCACCTGCTGCTGCTGCTGCTGCTGCTGCTGCTGCTGCTGCTGCTGCTGCTGGCTTTGTCCCCCTCATACTCCCCATGATACTCCTGCTTCAGCAGACTCCTCTGAGGCCTGCCTGAGTCACAGCCCAAGATGTGGGTGTCAGGAAGTGAAGGGCAAGGGCCCAGCAAGCCACATGTGGCTCACAGAAGCACCACCCTGGGCTTGAGGACAAAGCCAATTGTTCCATGGGTGATCTTGGTGTCCTATATGTCCTGTCCCCAGGCCTGCAGCTTCTGCCATACAGTGTGGGAGAGGACCAGGGCACCCTTTGTCCCTTGCTTCCTTGAGGACTGCTGTAGCCCCTGGGCTCTGGCCCAGATGAGGGGACATTGCAATGAATGACATTCAGCTTCTGACCCCAGGGACAGGGACTCCCCAGCTCTGGCCATCTGCCACTCCACCTGCCCTGACAGCTGCTAACTCTTCCCCGAGCACTGTCTTATCTGACTGCCTCTTTCAAAGGGACTGGCCCATGCAGGCTGTTTCTGAAAGAAATACCCGGGTGTAGTAACACCAGAGATAATTAACATTATTTGTAAGCCTGGCTCTGTGCTGTAACGAAGGTGATCCTTAGGATACCTCTGCCAGGTGGATACTATTGTGATCCCCACTTCAGAGACACTGGTAGAGGCCAGAGAGGCTAGATTTAACTCTCAGTGTCCCTTGAAGAAAAAGCCACTCAACATCGAAACTATAGCCCTAGGCTGGTGGTATGGAAGGAAAAGGAGCAGAGGAGAGCGAAACAGAACCAGCAGTGGACAAGTGAAGAAACAGTGCTCAAAATGGACAGAGGCTGCACCTGGCCTCACCAGCAGCTACGGCTACCAGACAAGGTGTCACCAAAGTCAGGCCTCTGGAGGAAGCTAACTTTACTGGGCCACGGGAGCTGAGCCTGTGCCTTTTAGTGCTAGTGGGTGGAGCCACAGGTGGGATCTGACTACTTGTGGCTGCAGAGCCAGCCCATCAAAGGCTGGCAGAGATCTTTCTGCCTAAATGTAGCCGGACACAAGGGTAGGCTACTGGACTCAGGCTGAGCATTTTCTGCAGTGGGACTCAGCAGCTGAAGACCAGTAGCAGGGAGTGCTGAGTTGGCACAGCCCAGACCTGTGGATTTAAGCTGGGGTTGGAGGTGTGGCTTTTTTTTTTTTTTTTTAAACTGAGAGAAGCCCCCGAGGCAAAACAAATGCATACCCGGATATATCCTGAAGAGAAGGTTCTGTGGTCCCTCCTTCCCTAGGCCTGGCTCAGCAGCAGAGCCCACAGAGGACTGCTTCCAGGGATACACTCTGCCCAGGGCTGGGCACACACAGCTGTGGGCTTGTGGAACTGAATTCAAAACCTGCTCTGACCTTCAGCTGGAGACTGGGAGCTTTTGTGTCCCTGGTCTGTAAGGTGAGGTCACAGTTCCTGGAGGGGCTCCTGTGGTGAGGGATATGGAGGAATCTAGTTGGAAGCCTTGCCGTTGTGAGGACGTGGATCAGGCATTTGGAAGAGTTCACCTCTTCTGGAGAAGACGGTGTTTCCATGGTACTGGCACTCATGAAGAAAGCAGCAGTAAGAGCCGCTATCACCAGTACATGGTCCTGGGTACTCAGCCTCCTCTCACTCATGGGCACAACCCATTCTATTGATGGGGAAATGGAGGTGCTTGGTCTCTGGGGCTGAACCCTACACGCCACACTGCCCCTGCATTTGTACTGCTCTAAGCCGCTTTTGTCATAAACCGCGGGAGTTGTTGTTACGATCACCACTCCCACTCTCTAATGGACGAGGCACTCAGGAAGGCTGCCTGGGCTGGGTGTGGCAGAGCCAGGACCTGTGGCTTTCCACCCTCCACACTTCCCTGCCCTGTCCCTGGGAGACCCTTCAGCGTCCACAGCAGCGCGTGCACCTGTGGACACTGCCACAGCTTTCTGCCTTCTCAGAGGTCGTTCCTCTCAGATGTCTCACTGGCCTCATGAGAAGGTGGGACCCCAGACCTGGACAGGTCAGACATGATGCCTGAAGGCCTATGGCCAGCGATGGTATTATTTTTCCAGTTTACAGATGTGAAAACTAAGTCCTGTTTTTCAGGTAATGCTTCTAAACGGCCTGGCTTCAGCCTATGGACAAAGTGTCAGTGACAGCAGGAACTAGATTTTTAGCTTTTCCTTCTTGACCAGAAAGTAGACTGCATACTGCATGACACCAGACCATGTGTGTGGCCCGGTGTGCAGCCTCTGCAGGGACAGGCAGTACATGTGGGAGGAGGATTTCTCTAGTGCAGGTGCCCCCTGCGTACATCACTGCCCTGTGCTTGGGGCAGTGATGGCGCTCAGCTTGTTGGAAGAAATCATATTCACCTCTTACTGAGCCTTACAGTCCCACACTGAGTGCAGTGCAGTAGGCACTGACTTTGCTGCCCAGAGCAAGAAACTGAAGCTCAGGCAGGCTTGGCACAGCCACAGGACCGAGGAGAGCTAGGCAACCCTCCCATCAGGCCTCTGGGGTTTGCATGGAGGTCACTTCCTCATCCTGGCCAGCAAGGGAATTCATAGTGGGCAAAAGTGTGGATTGGGACCCGTACTCTGCGTGCCAGTGCCTGAGCTGGGCTGGCTTCTCCCCTCTCTCCTCAACAACAACCCTGCTCTTGGGTCCTCTCCAGGAAAGCCCCAGCAGCTGAAAGCTCTCTGGAAATCTCAGGTTTACTCATTTTGGCAATTGCAAGAAAACCCCACTCCCATTCCAGGGAAGGACAAACAAGGGCATCTATCATCCTGCCTGTCTCAGCCCACTCTGCCTATGTGCCCACAGCTCCACAACTGTCTCCAGAGCCCCAGGTCCCTGACTAGAGCCCAGGCTTGGGAGGGCCCTGCAGCCTGGTGGCAAGGCTTGCTTGGGCAGTAGAGCTGGCTTCAAGCTGTTAGGTGGTTCCACACCCAAGCGTGGATGAGGGCGCTCCTGGGTTGGGGCAGGGAGGGAGACTGGACTCCTAAAAGGGACCACTGTAAGCTGAGCTGGGAAAGCAAGAGTCCCCCTCCCTGGGCATAGATGCAGGCAAGGTATGGCTTCACTTGGGTCCTCTCCAGCTCCCCTTCCACTTCTGCCATGAGGACCGGATGTCTGTGTGGTTCTCAGGATAAGGAAGCCACCATTCCCTACAGCATCATGAGGAGTCCTTTAGGCTGACTTGGCTCTTGACCTGGATGTCTTCTTGTGGTCCTCTTTAGGTGGCTTGAGCCAGACTCTTACCACAGTGAAGCTCTATTTCCTACTGTCTCTGAAAGTGTTGACTCTCAGCTAGCACGCACCAGAAGGGCAACTCTGATCCTTCAGCCACTTGTGAGACATGCCTGGCACTAATTGTTATGAATACGGCCCCTGGACCACCTCAAACAGTAGCTTCTGGGGCTGCAGCCCCAGGTTCAAGTATCTCACACTTACCTTCCACAGGTGAGGTCTTGAGGCGCCGGCAGATGGCTTCAGTGTCCCCATAAGTCTCCTTGATCTTGACCACTGCCTCTGTGCCCCTCAGCTCCATGAGGGAGCGGAGCTCCTCCATCGTGCACCCGAACTCACCCCCATGGCTCGACTCATTTCTTTGGTTTTTGGAGTAAAAGTCACTGTTGGTCATATCACCCATGTTTGCTGAAGTCCCCTCTGGGATGGGCCTGAGGGCCAGCACTGGACACCAGGCTTCTGGGTGATGGTGTATGTGGCTGTCCTTAGCACACCCTCACTGGACGGCTGCAGCTCCAGGCAGCCAACTGCCAGTCCCAGGGGGAGGCTGTGGCTGAGGTGGGCTGGCAACAGTGGCGGTGAGCTCCCAGGGATGTCCCCGAGCGTGGGGCAAAGTCCAGGGGCCAGCGGGGCTCAGGGCTGCAGACCCAGGAGTCTCCATTCAGCGAGGCCCATGCTGCTCCCTGGAGCTGGCATCTACATGGTCAGGGGCTGTGGCACCTGCGGGAGCAAGCACAGGATGAGTGGTAGGTTAGGCACTGGGGGCATTAAGGAACACGTGCTCAGGACGGTCCAGGGCTCAGGTGCGCACACACCAGCCCAGGGAACGCGGACGTCACTCACAGGTACCCTTAGCACAAGTTGTGCTCAATGTCTCTAGCGCCCCATCCCACACTGTAACTCCAGTTACCAGCACCTGCCTGGGCACCCGCAAGTTCACCACCTTGAGGCACAGCTGGGTGCGGCCTTATAGCCATCGGCTCCCTACTATTTCACCATGCTGTATAACACGCTAACTTTCAAACACATTCCCCAGGTGTACACACACCTCCAGCACACCCAGCTCGCGTGCCGTGTGACACCTCACCCACTGCCACATACCTACTAACTCACAGCCCCCCTCCACACCATCATAACCATTTCTGGGCATACAACCTTTGCCCATGCACCCTGTCCTCAAAAACACCTATGTGCATAGTGCCTCTGTGCATTCCAAGCCACTCCCCTCTCTGTCCTGTGTCTGCACATCTGGGACACGTCCCCTCTCCCAGGCAGATAATCCAGGGCATACAGGGGTGATTTCCCTGCCCATGCCACCTCCACACCCCACAGCCCGCAACCACCACCAGCCAAGGCTCTCACCCTGGCCAGAGGGGGCAGCTGTGCGTATTCTTGAGGATGCCCTTGACCCAGAGCTTGGCCCTTGGTGCCCTCACCTGGGACCTCAGAGACCAGCACCACAGACAGCAGCTGACTGTCCGGCCAGAGCACATAAAGAGGACAGATGGGCTGCTCCCTGCTGCCTGCCACCCGCACAGGAGTGCAGCATCTGCGGGCTGCCAGGAGAGAATCCAATCCGCCTGGACACCCAACACCAGAGGCCGAGAGCCCTGTGAGCGTTGGGTGACAAAGGGCCCCTGCTGAGCTCTGCTGAAGCTGGCACAGGGGACCAGCCCCGCCCAGCAGCCGTGGACAGCCAGGGGGAAGGGGACAGGGGAGGAGCCCAGGACTGAGCTCCTGACCCCAGCCCCAGCCCCTACCTGCTGGACTTTTCCTTTACAAGCCTTTCTTCTTCCACCTACTTCAGAGCTGGGGGCATTCAAGGTTAGCTTCATTCTCCCCAAACCACACAGAGAAAGCACAGAAGCCAGAATGGGGTGGTCCCTGGCTCCAAGCCCAGTGCTTTCGCCTTCTCCAGGGAGTTGTTCCCTCCCTCCTCTCCCCTCCAGTGCTGAGCAGCAGGCAACAGTCCTAGGCAGTGGTCAGGAACACAGGATGTAGAACCAGAGACGTGTGTTCAAATCTACACTGTCTACATCTTGGCTGCCCCACCCTGGGGAAGTGGCTCTAGTTTAGGAGTTTTGGTCCTTTCATATATAAGATGGAATAATTGTCACTCCCCTCTGTTCCCTGGATACTTCTCAATTTCCTGGGATAGTGATGCATGTTTAAATCCACTATATTTCCACCTGGAGTCTGGGCTTCCCAGACTCCAGGCGATAGCCTTAGGAGGAACCCAGCATGCCTTGCAGAGGGTGCTTCACTCAGGATGCAGGAAGCAACTTCTCTCCTTTTCTTTTTTACAATGGGACCAGCAGGGATCTCATGGAGTAGACTAGAACATGGGGATGACGCCTCCAGAAGAGACACGGATACCAGATCAGTGACCTGCTTGGTGCTCCTGCATTCATCCCTGCAGGTTTGCTCACGCTGGTATGTGCCAGCAGCCCCAGAGCTCAAGAGAGTTGACCCTAACCAGGAGCAGGGAGGTGGGGCCAGGCCTGCCACAGCAATACTGTGCCTGCTCCCCCTCCTTCAGCACATCCCATGTGTCAGGCCATGTGCACACTATCCTCTGTCAGGGGCTGGGGCAGAGCGCAGTGGTGGGTCACCTGCCTTCCAGGGCAAGGCTCTGGATTCCACCCTTAGCAGGGAAAGGAGTGGGCACAGGAAGAAAGAGGCTGTGGAAGAGGGGGAGGAGAGAGAGGAAGGACAGGGAAGAGTAGTCCTACAGTGTCAGCCACCAGGAGACAGTGTGGAGGCAAGAAGTTTGTATGTTTTTGAGTGGTCCTTGGTTAGAAAAGCTCCTAGCTTCTAGCAGGTACCCCATATATAACTGCTAAAGGAATGACCCAAAAGCAAACAGTGTCCTATTGAGTCCTCAAGATCCTGTGAAATGAGATGGCTTTTTGAAAAAAATGTACTTAGGACAGGGTCTATAGGGTCTCACTACACAGATTGGACTCATAGTGATTCTTCTGTTTTCAGCCTCCTAAGGGCTGGGATTACAGGCATGTGCCACCAAGCCCGGTCTCAATCACTGTATTAGCATGCCCCGGGGGTGGGGCTGGCATGGCACTCCGGGGATCAAACCCTGGCCGTTGTGCTCTGCCTAAGCAGGTGCTTTAGACTGCTGAGCTATATGACTGGTCCTAGGGTCCTCTGAAATGGATACTATAATTACACCCATTGTATAGACAAAGAGAATAAAGCTTGTAAGAACGAAGCCATTTGCATAAGGTCCCACAGCATGGAGGTGCCAGAGAGTGGAAGAACTTTTTACTGTATGACCTTGGACCCTTGTCGACCACCTCAGTTGCCTACTGCCAGTATCCACCTCACAGATGAGTTATTTCCTGTAAAAACTTGGAACCAAGCCCCAGCACATGGCAAGTACACAGTGATTTTTGTGATTATCATCAATCCACAAAACCACTTTACTCAATAGGTAATCTTGTTGCCCCCACAGAACATATGTGCAAACCAAGACCACAAAAGACGAACCCACTGCCCAAGGTCACATGGCCCAGCAGGGGTGGAGCTGGAGTCTGAAAGCAGGCAGTCTGAGTTGAGAGACGTATGCCTTTCTAGTCAGGATGTTGGAGGACTTTGGCAAACCTCCCTCAGTGGTTTCTCATGAAGCTTAAATGAAAAGCCATATGTGAACCAAAGGGCTTTGCAAGCCACAGGGGACTTTTCAAATCCAAGGTATTGTTTTGTATCTGTCTCCCAGCTACCTTCAGCATGGCTTAGAGGCACTGGTAATTCCCGTCTCTGATGGCAGAACTGCCAGCAGCAATTTTTATCTGTGATCATAGTAGTATGTGTGAGTTACTGGGCTACTGTCAATATTAATGACCACTGTGTTAAAATGAACTGTAATCTTCAATCGTGTACTCACCTACCCCTAAGTCTATATACCTAACCATAAATCCATCCATCTATGCATCCACCCAACTATCCACCCCCTACCAACATACTTACACACCAATCCAACTGTCAGTGCATTTACCTATGATGCATTCAACCATCCACACATCTATCCACTCATCCATATACCTCTCCATCCATCCATCCATCCATCCATCTAGCCATGCATGTGCCAATGCCCCCCACACTCACCTATCCACTCATCCACCTACCTATCCATTCCATTCAATGATTATATTTTGGGCTTGGTGCTAGTAAAACATGGCACTGACCTCTAGGAGCTGACAGTGAGGAATAAAAGACAAATCAGTGATTTCTATGGCTTGATAGGTTTGTCACAGTGGGAAGTCCCAGGTGCTGTGGACATCCAGGCCAGCAAGGTCTGACCCAGCCCAGAGGGACAGAAAAGACCTTTCCTTTTAAATATGACTAGGGAATATTTTTTCCCCTGAAGGCTGAGCAGCACTTAAGCTGAAAGATGCACCAGGAAGAGAGAGAAACATATAACTTTTCGTAAAGGCTGAGAGAGACACAGAGGGAGTTGCGGGAAGGGGTTGATGGGAGCAAGTGTGGGCTTCAGGATACCAGCATCAGCTAAAGCGTGGAGCCCAACCTCCAGGTAACTCATGTCATGTCTCCACCCCTTCTCCTGCTGCTCATTCCAGCCCCACATCTCATGGGTGTACACAAGAGGTCACCTCCATGACCTGGGAGTTTTGTTTTCTTTTCCTAAGTTGTGTAGCTCACTCTGGTACTTTCTCTGACCAGAAATGCTTGATTAAAAAAATGTGAGGTTCACAGGTGCAGAAGCACTTGGGAGTACAATGCAAGCGCACTGACAGTTTGTAGAGACTCTCAGCTCCGAAGCCTATGGCCCTGCCACACACCTGCCCAGAAGCCTCTCCTCTCCCCACTCAGTGATGGCGCTGGCCTCCTCAGCCTCACTCACATCCCCTTCCTAGAAGTGTCCCTTGCCATCTTGCCTGTGTAGACTCTCAGGCTCCCAGATGCCTCCTCCACTACAGCCCACGTCACACTTCATCACTCAGGCCTGCTTCAGTCAGATCCTTTGCCCAGGGACCTGACAGCATCACATAGGTGGCAGCTATGTCTGCTTTGTGCATGGTGCAGTGTCTGGCATCTAGAAGGTGGTCAATAAATGTTTAGTGAATAAATGACTAGCTGGGGCAAACTTATGTCTGTCTATATAAAAGGTATGGCTTTAGATAGGTCCTCAGATAACTTCAGTTTCTTCTGCAAAATGGGCTATCCCTGTCCTGCCTACCTTATGGGTTTGCTGGGAGTCAGGAAAGGTAAGAGTTAGTAGTTTTGGTTTTGTCTTTGAGACACTTCTACCCTGGGGAGTGTAAGGGGCAGCGACAGGGGCCACAGCTGACTCAGGCTGTGGTTTCCTCAAGCCCTGGCTCACTGGACTCTGAGGTTCTAGCTGCCTCATCACATGAAAACCACTTCACAGCTGAGGGATGAAACAAGCCACGTGACCTTGAAGAAGACTCCTGAACTTGGTGAGCCTCCCTGTCAGGGTGACTCCATGGGTTCTCAGGCTTCAACAAAGATCCTGTGAGACCCAGCTTCCAATCTGGGGCAGACGCTCTACCACGACAGCTTCCCAGAATTCCTCCTGCTATCCCAGGTCATGGGGAGGGTGTGTAGCCAGTCCTGGGGGCCAGAGAGGCTGAATAACACACCAGGACCATACATCCAGTGGAGGCCATCACTGGGGAGAGGCTCCTCCCAGCACTCCCTGCTCCACCAATGACCTGGATCAA